ATCATTATCATTGTTATTATTATCATTGTTATTGTTATTATCATTATTATTATTGTCACCTTCATCGTCATCATCATCATTATTATTATCATTATTATTACTGTTACCGACTTTTGTAAGAGAGTGGGTGAGTACCTGGAGCATATGACCTTGGAAGTCGTCCTTGAGTTTCTCCGGTGACGTAATCACCAGGCTGACCTCCTTGACCAGCTGAGGCACGTGCAGCCCCAGAGTGAGCGCCACCAGCAGCCCTATAGCCACGCACGTGCGGCGGGGGGTGAGCAGAGTCCTGGCTCGGAACGGGAACCTCAAGGCCACCCACCTCTCCAAGGTCAGGGTGAGGGTGACTCCAAGGTTGAAGGTCATGAGGCTGTAGGCGAACCAGCGCTCCGCAGCCTGGCCCAGAGGACGCGAGTTGACCACAGGGCTGGCCGATGTGACGTCACTGGCCGGGGTGATGAGCGGGGTCAGGGAGTGGCCCGGAGTGATGGGCGGGGTCAGTGAGTGGTCTGGAGTGATGGGCGGGGTCAGGGAGTGGCCTGGAGTGATGGGCAGGGTCAGGGAGTGGCCCGGTGGGAGAAGAATATTAATATTCTCGTCTCTTGTTGCAGGATCGTTCACGATATCGTCAACGTTGTCAGGAGAATCAGCCAGCTGAGAGACTGTGTGTCTGGAAGAACTGGGTGTTGTCAGCCCGGGAACAGATTCTCGTAATGGTGAAGAGGATATCTTTGGCATGTTGTTGGACATATTATTGTCTGTTTTGTTGGTCTGTCCGTGTGAAGACTGAGGGGATGAGGAAATCTTTATTCTGTTGTCAGCCACATTGTCTGTTCTGTGTGTCTGTCTGTGTGATGAGGAAATCTTTGGCATGTTCATGTCCACACTCTCTGTCGTGTTGGTCTGTCTGTGTGAAGACTGGTGTGATGGGGATATCTTTGGTCTTTTGTTGGCCACATTGTCTGTTCTGTTCGTCTGTTCCTGTGACGACTGGGGTGATGGGGAAATCTCTGGTCTGTTGATGACCACACCGCCCGTCGTGTTTGTCTGTCCCTGCGGTGACTGCGCCAATAAGTCCAGAAGAAGTGCCAGAAGCAGCTGCTCGTTCACCTCAGCCTCGGACGCCGGCTCAAAGCCTGTCTCCGACGGTGTGGAGTTCGAATCCTGAGACCAGGAGAAAGGTAGATCTATGCGCGTGAGGTTTGCTCCGAGCAAAAGCCGCGCTTGTAGATTCTGTCTCAGCGTCTCGCAGTCTGGGATGAGCGGCCCCGACATGGCGGAGATCTCGACCTTTGACCTTATGGCTGGCTCCACGTCGGAGTAGAGGGCAAACAGCAGAATACAGAGGTCACACAGCGTGAGGGAACGAAGCAGGTAGTAAGGCGCGGATCTCAGAGACTTGTTCCAAAGGACCACGAGACACATCACGTTCAGCACTATGCCTACCACGACCATCACCGGAAGAACTATCCCCTGAGTCACGAAGATGAATTCCAAACTGTCCAGAACTTCCCGCACGTCGGAGAATATCTCTGGTAGATCCAATGTAGAATTGTCGGAGAGCTTTCCGAAGCACATGGTTCTTAGGTGGGTTCTTGGACTGTGGTTCTTGGCTTGGTTCTTTTTGGTTCTTTTTGGCTCTGTTCTTGGACTGCGGTTCTTGTCGTGGTTCTGTATTGGTTATTTGGCCTGCTGATGATCTTATATTAATTGTTTTGGGTTCAATTGGACATTTCCAGATCTAGGTCTCTGGTGTCACTATACATCTCAAACTCTGACAACCTCTGTCTGTACCGGGACTGTGGGTGGTTGGAGGGTGTCACTATACAACACAAAACGACGCATCTATCTATCTATCAATCTATCAATCTATCTATCTATCTATCTATCTATCTATCTATCTATCTATCTATCTATCTATCTATCTATCTATCTACCCTCACCTGTAAAACGTCCCCAGCCAACAGTCGAGCAGTGTCGGGTAGGAAGAGAAACTCTCTCACACACACACAGAGGAAAGGACGTGCACACTGAGTGCCGCGCTTAGGCTAACTGACCCTCGCATGTCGCTGTGGTCAAGGGGGTGAGTCAGGTGTGCTCACCACAGGCTGATGTGGGAGTGAGTGCACACACGTGGGAGAGTGAGTGTCGAAGGTTAGTTTTAGTAAGAGTTTTACGGCGCTCGCAACTGCATAAGGTCATATAAGACGTGCCGAAGATTAGAGGTGTTACAAGAGAGTAACAAACACAAAAAAGGAGGAGAGATAAAGACGATAGATAGATGTTAGATAGGAAAGGAGAAGCTAACCACACCAGAGCACCCGCCAACCACCCACGAGTGTCCACAGAGCGGGAAGCACGGTACAGACTCACTTCAGTGGACGGCGGACCTGATAGAGAGGACATCTTCACTTACTACAGAATGGAAACGTCTTTCGTTTGTGAAAAGAAAATAAATGGTTCAGTAACATAGGACTGTTATGTGTCATACGCTGAAACATACATATATAGGCCTACATACAGTCGTAAGAATATTTTACGGCACTTGCAACACAATAAGGTCGTATAAGTGCAGAAGATTAGAGGTGTTACAAGAGAGTAACAAACATAAAATAATGACGTCATGGTAGCATACAGCGTTACACGGTGCATTACGTAGTACACATACTACTGTGACGTCATGGTTAATACACAATTTTCATTGGCTCTTTGGTAAGCGCTTTACGGACACACCAGATATTTCCAGTTGGTAGGATATTTTTTATTTTGCCCGAGTGGCGGCCGAAGCCTACTCTTATCGATTTTGGACCATCAAGGGACCATTAACGTGGTCAACTTGCACACGGGACCTCCGAGATTTTTGGCCTTTGTCCGACAGGGCCGGGTGTAGATCTTTCCTACCAGAAGACCAGGAGTGTGGCTGAAAGACAGCAGTAAGAAGAAGACAAGGAGTAGCAGTAGAAAGGCAGCAGAAAGAGTCGGGAGCCCAGAGGAGGGGACAAAGGAGGTGAGGGGGTGGGGGCAGAAAGTGGAGACGAGAGCAGACAACAGAACATTTTTAGAGAGCAGGAAAGGAGGTGAAAGAAGAAAATTTTAGAGAAGAACATTTTTTGGTCGCTACCCGGAATCGAATCCGGATTTTAGAGAGGAAAATTCGAACCGGGACCTTTTGAATGAGAGGCGTACACCTTAACCTCTAGGCCACGAGAGCCCCCTTCTTTGGTTCACTGGATGTGCGTTGTAAGGAAAGGGTGCCTCATTATTACGTAACTGCCGTGTGGAACTTTGGAAAATATTGACAATAATAAATGGTCAAGATAGTAAGTGTCGTTATGGGTGTGGGAGGGGGCGTGTTCTGTCTGCCTGTCTGTCTGTCTGTGTGTCTGTCTGTCTTTCTGTGTGTCTGTTTGTTTGTCTGTCCCTCTCATTCCGAGATCTCGCGGAGATCAGAGACAGTGAGACTCTCACGCCTTCGCGGATGTTTGTTCTAGAGGTGGAGGGTGGGGGCAGTAAAGGGGAGGG